TTTTTTGCATAATTTTTTATAAATTATTTGCATTTAAAATGACGTTTTTACGTTGGAGTATTTTTTTTTGTTATGAATTTCTGCCCAATTTGACAAATGGTAGATTTGGTTTTTTTTTTTTTTTTTTTTTTTTTATATATTTATTTTCTCTATGATTCATTGATGAAATCAGGGTGCTAATAAGGGTGTAACAGCTTGGCCGGATGTTCCTGGAAGTACAGGAGGTGGAAAAATGTTAAGAAATTTGACACCGGCTGATAGGCACGGTTCGGTTCAGGTACGTGAAAATTTATCAATTTCAAACAAGGGGGTTGACTCCTCCTCCTTTAAACTAATGTCAGAAAAATCTCATCGACGTTTTAGGTTAATTTTTTTAATTTTACTCATTCTGTGGTGGTATCTTTAAGGTTTTTAACGGTTTTTTTTTCTTTTTTTTTCTCCCCCCTCCACCCTTCGAACAGGTCGTGAGTTCGACGAACGGGGAATTAGCAAACGATGATCCGACTCCAGGTCATTCGAAAACTCCAATCACGGTGGATCCAGACGTGGAAATTGTAGATGAAACTAAGTAAGTATTCACTTTAAATTATTATTATTATTATTATTGTTATTTGTTAAATGAATGTTAATTCGAATGGAGTACATAACTTAAAAATTATTTATTTATTTATTTTATTAGACTTTTTACAAAGTAAAATTTTATAAGGGGAAATTTTGTATTTATAAGTTAGTAATCAAGGGAAGAAGAGTAGACAGTTTTCCCCCTTCCCCGTCCCCTCGCCCCCCGTTTAATTATTTTAGTTAATTTAATATTCTACAAAGTGATGTTAATAAATAATTTTTTCAGGTATTATTTAAATAAGAAGACCACAAATTTTGGGTAATATGAAGGACAAAAAAAAAAAAAAAAAAAAAAAGATATTTTTTTCTATTTTTTTTTTTTAATACATAAAAAAACCTTATTTATTTATTTATTTATTTTTTTATGTAAATATTATTCGTTTATTAAATGTTTTTTTTAATTTTCATTCGTAACCCTAAATTTTAATTTCGTCAATTTTTTAATTTTTATATATATATATATAAATAGTTTGGAAAAAAAAAATTAATCCAACGAACGAACCGATAATCAATCAATCAATCTTATTGAATTTTTTTTTTTTTTTTTTTGTTTACCTTTATTGCTTTTGTTGCTTTAAATATCATTATTGTCAGAGCTATTTGTAAAAAAAAAAATTTTTTTTTTTTTTTTAAGCTTTTAAAAACCTCAATGCGTGAGTCAAGAAGCTTTTCTTTTTTTTTTTGAAAAGAGTGTTTGAATTTAATATCTAATCGTTATCATTATTATTATTTCATCTCATACCCTTTTTTTATTATAATGGAATTTTATAATTATTATTATTATTAATTGTTTTTTTTTTATTATTCATTTTAAAAAAAATGGCGATTGTACAAAACCGGGGGATTATACTAAAATTGTTTGTGGATGTTTTTTTGAAAGCAAAATTATTATTATTATTATTATTATTATTATGTTTTTTTTGTCGTTACTTCGTTTCAGGTGTTGCTGTTTCTTCAAAAGAAAGAAAAAAAAATCTAGTCGTCAAAAATGACTAGCTGTCGTTCAATGTAGTCCAGAACGTGAGGCGGTTACATTGTTAAGAGCAACATCGCAATCGAATTCGCGTGATTCCGTATTAAATAATTCAAGCTTCCCATTGCCAACAGCCGCAGCAACATAAAATTCAACAAGCAAACAAACAAACAAAAATTAATGATGATGATGATGATGATGAATTAGAATTATTATATGAATATTCTTCGTATTTATATATAAACACACACACATATAAACGTGAAAGCTATTGCGAATGTGAGTGCGAAATAATAAATAAAAATATATATATATATATATTTAATTAAAATTTAAAAAAAGAGAGAAAAAAAAAACTGCCTAGAAATATTAATGTAAAGAAAAAGGAAAGAAAATAAGGAAAAAAAAAAAAGGAAAAAAAAATCGTAAACTTTATTTTATTTGTTAAAAAAATAAAAAATAAAAAAAAAAAAAAATTCTTTCGTTTTCGGTTAGTGCCTACTTCATTTTTTTTTATTTTGGTTTTTTTCGTATAGGAAAAATAAAAAGTATTATTACAGCCTCGGAAAATAATAATAATAATAATAATAATAATAAAA